AGCCATTGTTACTTAGCAACCAGACTGAAGAGGTTAAGGTAGAAACTGCTGTCATTTTGCTATGGGGTGGGGGAAACACCCCTCCAAGAGAAAGAGGGAGAGAGAGATTCATTTTCTAAAGGATAATATCTTCTGCATGTTTTAATTCTCCTGCACTGTAGCTTGCAAAATGACTTTCCTACAAGGCCAATTTGAACGAAATGCAAAATGTGAAAGCTTTTCAAATGTGTACAGCACAATTGGCAGCTATTAACCTGGAACAGGTTGAAAGGTTCCCAGTCTGGGGTAAGAGAGAAATTTACCACCCCCACCCCTTCTTCATATTCAATTGAGTTCCGCTGAGCAAAATGATCAATAAGAGAGATGGCAGGAGGTGTTTTCATTTGCCTCACATCACTCTTGCAATAAAACGAATTCCTGGGACTTTTTCTAAGAATCCCCTCAATCAACTAACACTAACAACAACAGGAGGCTCAGTACTTTCAGTTTTGTACGAAGGAACCAGGGTACAACACATGTGAAGTCAAGTCATTGGTCCATCTAAACGAATAATATCTAGCCTGATTAGCAATAGGTATCTGTAGTCTCAGTTGGAGGTCTTTCTTAGCCCTGATGTTCAGTTAGCTCAGGCTGAAGAATGAAGCTGAAAGCAACCGTTATACTAGATCAGCTGTCTTTAGTCACCACCCCAGTCACTTGATCTGGCTGGGATGAGGAGAATTAGGACCTGTTTTTGACCATTGTTTAGCTGGCATGGTAGCACAGGAAAGATTAACCTTGAGTGCCCTGCCAGACTCTGCTTCTGAAGTTACAGGGTCAAGTCTCCTGCTCCCTTTCTAGGGTCATCAGTTACAAAAGAGGATAGGACTTCTTTTCCCTTCATAGTTTTATTTTGTTTAAATAATACATCCTACAGTAGATATAGGGACACGGGTGGCACTGTGGGTCGGCGGTTAGAATCCCCATGATGGGGTGAGGTCCTGTTGCTCGGTGCCTGCTCCTGCCAACCTAGCAGTTCGAAAGCACGTCAAAGTGCAAGTAGATAAATAGATACTGCTCCAGCGGGAAGGTAAACGGCGTTTCCGTGCACTGCTCTGGATCGCCAGAAGCGGCTTAGTCATGCTGGCCACATGACCCGGAAGCTGTACGCCGGCTCCCTTGGCCAGTACAGCGAGATGAGCCCCACAACCCCAGAGTCGTCCGTGACTGGACCTAATGGTCAGGGGTCCCTTTACCTTTTACAGTAGATATAAAACAGTATCATTAATGGCAACAATGCTTCCTTATACCTCATGCAAATCACCTTCCAAGCCTACTACATGCCTACCAGATTGCTAAAATTGATAACAAATTCACAGGGAACCTTTAATAGTTGTGTATAAGAGTTCTCTCTGTCTGTGTAGCTTTCAGTCTGTGTAGCTTTCAAGGTAAGCTACCCTTGCTGAGATTTCCTCTTCTACACAACTATTACAAGTGCAGAAGCTCTGTCCAAGAAAATCTCTCTCCTCTTTTGCTTCTGACCACCCCAAACCTACAATTTGGAATTCCAAAATCTGGGAATATATTCAGATAAAGGGAATCCTGCAAGTGTCCTTTAGGACACTTGATCACCAGGTTTTTTCATCCTTTAGTGTCTCTCCAATGCATTTGTAGCTGTTTATGTGCCTATAGTACAGGTTACTGTGAAAGGGAATATATCACAACAAGCAGCTTCAATAGTGCTTTCCATCATTCAGGCTAGGCATGTAAAGTGCTCTATCTTTGAACTGCCTTACAAATTAAGATTGAGAGATGGGGTAGAAATATTTTAAATAAACTGTAAATCTTGCCAAGGGATAGAGAGCTCACAAAGCTGCCTTATGCTGCATGAGAACACTGGTCTATCCAGCTCCATACTGCCCAGAGTTTCAGGTCTTTCCCAGCCCTCCCTGGGGGTGCCAAGGAGGTCTTTTCCATGTAAATCAGATGCTCAGCCACCCCTCCACAGAATCCGCCCAGCAACAGGAAGTAGATCCTCTGAGATCTATAGATGTAGATCAATCATGACATCACCATCAAAACTAACTTGAGTTGAATAGATCTATCAACATTTCAGTCGCCCTCATCTATTGCTTTTCCTTACATAGGACCATAGGAAGCTTATGGCCTTATACTGAGCCATACCACTTGTACCTTCTGAATTCCAAGCAGATGCCCTTCTGCCCTTCTGTTGTATACTGCACTGAGATCCATTCAAGAAATCATCTTCTTCATTGTCTCCTCCTGCTCCTCCTCACCTTTCAGTGGCTTCTTCACCTAACAAAAGAAAATCCTCATCTTATCACACCCTTAAAGGTATCACAACAAGAACATGGTGTATCCAGTTTGCACACACCAAGTTGGATGTGACTTTTCCTTGGCGTTATTTATTTCATTCTTTCTTTCAGTCAAATAACAGGTTGCCTGCTGGGAGAGATTGTCTGACCTCGCTCAGCGCCATTTGCAACACTGTCTGCAGAAAGATTTGCCTGTGGCTATGGGTTAAAAATAATAGTGGTTCTGAAAATTTGATGAAAGCTGGAGGGTAAGTATTACTTCGACATTGTTGGCTATCACACAAACAAGGCTGAGGTCCCACAACCTATAAAATAATCATGCCAAAGGGATTCAAAATGCCCACTGTTATACTAGTTTGCGTAAGCTAAAAGTTTATTTCAATTTATTTAAAGTGCCATACCCCTGACCACCACCTAAATTGATGGGTAAGATGGTGCCCATCTCCCTCAATCCCATTTACCTGTACAGGTAGCTAAATCTTGTGTGGAACTGATAAAGGGACAGGACCCTCCACCGCATTCAAGGGCAAAAGGCTATCTCTGTTTTCCAACACCACACTGCTCCTCTCTGTCACCTAGCATCTGCCACCTGAGTCAGTCACCTCACTGCCTAATGTTAGGGCTGGTCCTGGCTTAGAATTGAGAAGAAGCATACATGTTTGGAGAGGACACAGCCACACAATGGGTACAAATAAGATATAGGCACCTGCTACTTAAATGGACAAAATTACACCCCAGGTTGATCACTTAGATCATCAGAAGGAGTGGTGTCAGTCATTCCCTGAGTCTGCAAAGCACATTTCACCCCAACAAAAAATGGAGTCTTTAGTATCATTGGTCCAGTCTTCTGTAATACTCTGCCAAGGGAGATCCAGCATGTCTCTTCTGTTTCAACATTTGAATGCCTACTGAAAACTTTTCTATTTTGTCAGGCTTATGCAGGCAATAAAGAATATATCTTTCCACAATAGGTAGCTGATTTCTTGTGTGTGTAGTATGTTTTTAAATGGTTTTATGTATATACTGTTGTAAAATGCTCTAGTTTTCTTTAATGAATAGTGGTATATATATCTATCTTTGATGCTAAATTTCTTTGGTGCTGCCTGCCTAACTTACTTATCACTTAAAATGCCATATGCCTGTCAACTTCCATCTGCTCTCTGTCACTACAAGACTTCCTGCCCCATCTCAGCTGATTGAAACTGCAAGCTTTTCTCCCCATCCTGCTGTCTTTAAAACTGCCAACAGCTTCTTCTCTCACACACATTTTTAATTAACCTGATAGCTCAGTCAGTAGAGCATAAGACCCTTAATCACATTGGGCAGAGGATTCCTGAATTGCAGGGGGTTGGACTTGATGAACCTAGTGGCCCCTTCCAACTCTACAATTCTACGATTCTATAATTTGTTGGAAGCTTTTATACCCCCACCCCTTAGCCAAAAAGACTCTCCAAGTGGCTTGCAAAAATAAGTACACAGGCTCACAATCTTAAAAGACATAGCACACAAGGAAAAAGGAAGAGGAGGGAAGAGGGAAAGCAGGTTCAAGAAGTCGTTCCAAAAGTTGCAGTCCTTATAATGCCGTAAAGAGCAGCAGTTCACTGTCATTGTCAGTGGTGGTTCTGTTTCTCTTTCCCTTGATAAAGAGCCCTCACCACAATGCACTCCCACTCCCCACCCCCCAAGATCAGATCTAGAAGCATAGCTGGTGACAGCATCCTTTTTTTTTTAAAAAAAAGAATATTTATTGATTTTCAACCGTTTAACACAACGAAACAGAAAGACCAAAAAAAAGGACAAAAAAAAGAAAGAAAAAGAAGAACATAAAACTAACAAAGCAATACACAAACCATTTCAAACACAAAGCAATTTCAATGTCTTATTTTTCATTCCCTTATTTCCACGACCTCCTCACACCTCCCTTTTTGTTTTCCACTTCTGTTAATTATTTCAGCAATTCCTTTCCATCTTCCTCTGTTTTCTATCCTATAATTATCTTAACATATTCTAGCCTTATTTCCCTTTAATACACTATTAATCTATTTATACTTGATTCCTTATAACATTTCTACTAAAGCCATATAACTTCATTCCAACATTTTTCTAACATTCATTATTTTACAGTATTTCTATAAACAGTCTTAAACTTTTTCCAGTCTTCTTCCACCGACTCTTCTCCCTGGTCTCGGATTTCTGCCAGTCGTTTCCGCCAATTCCATATAGTCCATCAACTTCATCTGCCATTCTTCCCGAATGGATAAATCTTGTGTCTTCCAGTACTTCACAATGAGTATTCTTGCTGCTATTGTTGCATACATGAACAAAATTCTATCCTTCTTTAACACCAATTGGCCGACCATGCCCAGGAGAAAGGCCTCTGGTTTCTTCAAAGGGGTATATTTAAATACCTTTTTCATTTCGTTATGAATCATCTCCCAGAGTGTCTTAATCCTTGGGCATGAGCTGGTGACAACATCCAGGCCAGGAGGACAGGTTAGCTCTGCCACACAATTTATCCCTCAGACATTTGACCTGATGGCAATTAGAAACCTCACAGGACAGGGTCTTGATGGAGTAAGCCTCCATTTTGTTGTTTTCTGTAGAGCCAAGAGAGACTCTAGTGACCCTTTGGACCAAATAGCCTGACACATTATAAGACAGCTTTTTGGGGGTTTTTTTTGGGGGGGGGGTGTTTGTGGCTCAAAGGTAGAGCATCTGCCTTGAATGCAGAAAGCCCTAAGTCCAATAACCAGCATCTCTGGGAAGGATTAGGAGAGACGCCTCCCTGAAAACATACAGCACCACTGCTAAGTCAGAGTAGACCATATAGGCAAGGTAAAGGACCCCCGGATGGTTAAGTCCAGCCAAAGGCTACTCTGGGGTTGTGGCACTCATCTCGCTTTTCAGGCCGAGAGAGCCGGCATTTGTCCACAGACAGCTTTCCGGGTCATGTGGCCAGCAGGGCTAAACCAGAGTGTACAGAAACACCGTTTACCTTCCCACCACAGCGGTACCTATTCATCTGCTTGCACTGGCGTGCTTTCGAACTGCTAGGTTGGCAGGAGCTGGGACAAAGCAACGGGAGCTCACTCTGTCGCAGGGATTTGAACTGCTGACCTTCCAATCAGCAAGCCCAAGAGGCTCAGCAGTTTAGACCACAGCTCCACCATATGGAGCTAGCTGGACCAATGGTCTGACTCTGTATAAGGCATCCCACTATGTTTCTAGCTCCTGCCCCATAGATGTTCTCTCAAGCTGCTGACCTGATGGAAGTTAGAATCCGCACAAGTGGGGACTTGACTTCACCTTGACCTGTTTGCTGTTCTTGCCCTTGTCAGAAGTACCCTTCCTCTCAGATGAGATCCAGGATAAAAACGTGTCCAGGACAGGAGGACAGAGTGGCTTCTGTAGCACAGTTCTTCCTTTAGAAAGCTGACTTGAGTGCCGTGCACAGGCACAAAAACATACCTGCTCTATTCCCTCAGTGGGCAGAATCTCACTCTTTCCTAGCTTTGGATGATAATGCCATTCACTAACGCCATCAAGAGACCTTTTCCAAATCAACCATCCCATGGACGTCTAACCAGCTAATGCGCTAACAAAGAAAATAGCCAAAGGAATGAACGAATGAATCTTTATTTGCATCAGCCATCGGCCATAGTGATAAAACAACAATACAATATACAAAGAATAGAAATGAAAAGTCAATTATATAAAATACACTTTAGGGTTTTGAATCAAGAGTCAAATAGTGGATTTTATTCTGATTGCCCCAGCTAAAAACCTTGCAACCTTTGCTGTCTTCTGCTCATCTTGATCTGCCAAGAGAAAGGACACTGTGGGCAGTGGGTGGGTGACCTGGAATGGACAATAAAAGGAATGCAGTGCAGTAAACAAAAGCACACATCTCCATGTTCCAGGAGGCCATCATCTCAGTGATCCATTAGGATTTGGTGAGCCATTGAGGGATGAGTTGTTCCTGGATCTTTAGACATCCCAAAGCACCAGAAAAACAAAGCCCAGCTAAAAGCATTTCCACCTACATGAAATGAGGGTTCTCATTAAAGGTGTGATTGCTGTAAAGCGTAGCGAAGAGCAAAACTCCAGCTGATATGCTCAAAAGTCAGCAGGGAGGGAATTGGGAAGCTCTACAAATCAGCAGAAGAGCACCCTTGAAGAAATGATTTTTGTTTTTGCATGCTTCCTTGCTCATTCAAATAGAGCGTATATCGGAAGATAAGTTTTGAGAGACGAGGCAGCCAATTTGAGATTGCAGAGAAGAGCAGGTGATGGATCTGAATAACGATGAAGAGAACTGTGCTACCCAAGTTGAAAATGTACAGTGGCACCTAAATGCACCCCCCAATATTTGATCAAGTTAGCAAATTCAGTACCTTTCCTCCCTAGTTTGTTTAATCTCTAAGTACAGTTTCCTAAAAGATGACCAACAGCTAAGAAGGGGTGAATCTGTTGGTTTTGTCACAATCGGTTTCTCTCTTTTTACCCCAGTCACCACAATTCACCACATTTCTATGAGAGTTTGTGATTATTATTATTGCATTTTTAAAAGTCATCAAGAAAATGAATCAGCATTTTACTGATTTAGCCTAATATGCACATTTCTGCACAGCAATTTTATCTACCGTAATTCATTTTTAATGTGATTTCCCCAAATATATGCATTTTTATGGATACTTTCCCCCAGTATTTTTCTACTTGGCTGGAGAACTCCATTGCAAAATTTAAATTAGTATGAATTGTGAAGGAAGACTATGTTTTGGTTTGCATATTGTTTTGCAGCTGTCAATCTTTCTCTGTCTACACAATATTCAAGGTGCTGCATTTTGCATAGATGATAGATCAACATTATTATATTAAAGCCATATCTTCCCTTTCAAGCTGCCCCCTGCATATGATGTAATAAACAATACAATGTGAACAGATGATTTTTCCTTGTTGTGTTAGGCACCCCAGTTAAGCTTAACACTGCAATAGTGCGGCTTTTCATAAGTAAAGAAAGAGGGTTAAGATTTCATCAACAGGATGTTTTGCTATGAATTTGCACTGTTCTAGTTTCTGGCCTTCATCCCCGTGTTCTGCGGTTGCTTCGCGGGCTACCGCAGAAGCCAGAACAACTAGAGGGAGCGCTGCACAGTGATACCGCTGGCTGTCCTGGCTTCTGGCTTAGCCGCGCAAAGCCTCTCCGGCCAGAAGAGGCTGTCCGCGGCTATGACATAAGTCAAGACAGCCAGCGGGATAGATCCTGCTCGCTGTCCTGGCTTCTTTTTTAGCTGCACGCAGCCTCTCCGGCCGGGAGAAGCTGTGCGCGGCTATGGCATAAGCAAGGCAGCCCTTCTCCCTCCTCGGGGAAAAGCCCCCAAGAGCCACGCACACGCTCCACGCGGCTCTTTAAAGGGAGCGCTGACAGAGCCTCCTGCCTGCATTTGCTCCATAAGATGCACACACATCCCCCCTTACTTTTTAGGAGAGGAAAAGTGCCTCTTATAGAGCAAAAAATACGGTAAATGCTATGGATTTGATACTAAATACATACCACCTAGCAGTTTGAAGGCACGTCAAAGTGCAAGTAGATAAATAGGTACCGCTCTGGCGGGAAGGTAAATGGCGTTTCCGTGCGCTGCTCTGGTTCGCCAGAAGCGGCTTAGTCATGCTGGCCACATGAACTGGAAGCTGTCTGCGAACAAACGCCGGCTCCCTCGGCCTACAGAGCGAGATGAGCGCACAACCCCAGCGTCGTCCGCGACTGGACCTAACGGTCAGGGGTACCTTTACCTTTACCTTTTTTACATACCAGTGAATGGAAGGGTATCATCTGTTCATAAAAGGAACCCCTTACAGTATCTGTTTGCTGCCTCTTATGTGTTCTGGACCATTCTCCAATCCTGCAAACTAGATTTCCAAGCCACTGCAGAAACAAGGGGAAATCAAATCAAATTGCTTCTCATCTCCCATTGGCAGGAGTGTCCCATGTATGGAACCCCAGGCAGGTAAGCCTTCTGTCAGCTAAAGCCTAATTAGGATACAAACCATCTATTGTACACTTTTTGGCACCTGCTAAAGGGTTTTTGTTTAGACAAGGCTACACAAATAGTTGCATGTTTTATTCTGTTTTTAGTTTATTGTTGTTTTTAATTTTTTAAAAGTTTTAAATCATCATTAATAGTTTTTATTGAGAATTATATTGTTTTAACTTTTTTTCTAAACTGCTTTGATGGTGGGTTTTGTTTTTTTCCAATCAACGGGTGTATAATTTTTATAAAGTAAATAAATAATATAGAACAGGGAAAACCTAAAGTCAGATTTTTTTCTCAGAAGTGGATTTTAAATATATAAGTTGCATGCTTGACTTCCCTGTCCAATGACTATATACTTCAAGTCTATTTTCTGTGAGCTCCCTACCTATCCATTAATGTTTTTGTCAAATAACTGGCTAAAATATGGATTTGGAGCATTGCATTAGCTGAAACATTAATGCATAATAACAGGTTGTCCAGAGGGTTTGAGCATCCAGATGGGTTTATTGAGACATTGTACCCATTTATAGCCTATGTTAATGCAGTTATATATGGCATTTGCGCTCCAGGGACATGCAAGTCCTTTTGAAGAGACATTTTTGTATGTGTGATCAGATCTGTAAGAGAATGCCATGCATGAACTATATAATAGTGCACTGTTCTGAGAATATGGGAAGGAAAAATCCATATCAGGGTTATGGTTGTTTGTTTACCACTTACAAACAATAAATATTATACATTAAATATTAAGTGTAAAAATTATCTAGTATGCTTCCTGTTCCCTTCCTATTTGTTATTAACTGCATACTGTACATTGTTCTGTATTCTCCCAAGCACACACTATCTTCATAGCAGCAACATCAGTCATATTTGCTTAACTGTCTGGAAGGGAAGGAAACCCTACACCCACCTATGTTTTTCTCCCCTACACCCTTTAAATGTGCATTTTGACTTACAAGAGGAGAAAATCCACAACTGTGTTACTACTGCTTTTTGGATTCCACTAAACACACCACTATTTCAAATGCTTGTCCTGGTTGCTTAGGAGTTCATGGTTTAGAAATCTCATTCTAGTGTATGAGGATGTTGATCTGCCCTAATTACACAACGTATAATCCATATTTAATTTGGTTGAATAAAGTAACCAGACTCAAAGCTACTTTCAGATGTCAAAGCCTTATTAAAGCAGTTCTTCGTACAAGGGATGTAATGAATAAAGCAGACCATTTAGAACGCATTCATCCGGAAAATATTGACAATTCTCTAGGAACAGAATATAGCTTGAGATCTCTTTTTAATCCAAAAAAATAAATGCACATAATTGTTCAAATCCAAACGGCACCACCGCAAATATCACAGGGCTCAGAATGGAAATGTGATAGGAGCTGTTTGTGAACATTACTTTGTGCTGGCATTAAGTCTATGCATCATTGCGCTCGCCCAGCAACCTATATGAGCAGATCACTTCATGTCATCTTGACATAAATCCCTGATCTCAAAATCCACCAAGCTATAAAATGAGGGGATACTTGAACAAAACATACAAAGAGTCTCACCGGATCAGGCCAAAGACCCATCCTGTCACCACAGTGGTCAATCAAATGCCCATGGGAACCAGGCCACAAGAAGGACCTGGGTGTAAAAGTTTTCTTCCGAGTAGTGTAATCAGAGGCACATTGTCTCTAACTATAGGTATAGAACAAAGCCACTGTGGTTAGTAACAACT